CATTGATAGCGACTCGGACGCTAAAAGCCAAGTCGCAGACGAGAAGAACAATGGCAAACCTCAAGTTGTCGACCGACACAGCAGTGTCGCGACCATGGTCGATGGCGCCGGATCGTCTTCCGTCGACCTTTTGGATCCAGCCAATGAGGCCAATGCGTCAGTCATACTGCGCGACCAAGTCGCCAAAGCCGAAGCGGAGCTTGCGCGGGTTTTCGACCTGCTTTCAAAAATGAACGCAGCAGGTGCCAAAACCGGAGGTGGTGGTGCGGCAGCAGGCCCCAAAATGATGCCAGGAGATGCAGACGGTGTGGCGGCGGCGGCTGCAGTCGCGGAGGGCCCGCTGGCGGAACGGTTGCGGCGGATGGCGAGCGTGGCTGGGACGCTTAAGGCTGATGGCGTGGGCTTCACCGGATGAGGCAAGCGAGCTGCTGGAGCATGACATTGAGCAGATGATGGCAAACTAGGAGAGTGAATGGAGAGAGTTTGAACAAATGGGTTTTTGTAATTGCATAATACAAACAAATGGACGGTACGTCAAATCTCTCGCGATACCGCCGCCAGTTGACACCGAAAAGCGGCTGTTGCAATGGATGAAGTCGAAAATAGGAGTCATAATGAGTCACAGCTTGTTAATTGGGCATTGCTGCGCATTCGCTTATGAAATTGCGCGCAGCAGTGCGAGATCAACGCGCGCTGACTTCGCCTCCATTTCGTTCTCGCGCGCACAATACATACACACGCACACAACAACTTGCTACGCCAATATTGCTCTCTTAGGGTATGTCAAAGCACGCGGTCGCAGCCGCTGCAGGTCCAGCACTCGTCAGTACTCGCTCGAGCAGAACCGTCCACTCTGGCGTCGCAAAGCACAACCCCGCTGCGTCGTCAGCCTCGCCCGCCGCAGAGGGCAACACTACCGCGCCGACGCTCGTCAGCAACCGTATACTGGTGTGTCGCTCATGCGGCGCCGACCTTCCCGACGATGTGATCCAGTTTCGCAAGCATCTGCGGAGCGAGTGTCCGACGTTTATCAAAGAGCGGCAAAAGCCGCCGGTGCTGGCGCCGAAGCTCGCAGCGTTCTTGCGTCCGGATCAGGAAACATTGTAAGGAGCACAGATGTGATGACGGAGGAGACGGCAGCCCTTTTGCTTAGTTTGGGCGCTTTGCGTTGCGATACTCGGCTGCTGGAGGCGTGCCGGCTCACACCCAGTTTCTCTGATTTTTGCAGATTTCGCCAGAAGTTTCGATTCTTTTGCGACTTGTGCCCGCCAAACTTCTCGTCAGGCGATAGGTTCAAAGGATGCTTTGGCGATATATACTGCATCACCCGGCACGAGGTGAGCGTTATATAACGGGGAGAGCCATTTGCAGTATCGTGCATGGAAAAGCTTCTAAACCGTCTTGCATTTGATTATTTCTAGTGGCGAGCGCATCGGATATATAAAGACGGTCTTCCATGGAGCCATGTGTCATATCATGCTGCAAAGACCGATTCTCCACTAAAAAAGAGCAAGAAGGGCAAGAAGCGCGAACTGTCGCCCTATGCGCAACAGCAGACCCGGTCAAGCGCAAAGCGCGCAGCAGTCGCAGCTGGCCCTGGTGTGCGCAAAGATGCCGGCGAGACAAACAAAGGCAAAGTGCGAGCTGCGCGCGAGCGCCGCCACTCTGCGACGTTTGATCACACACCGTCTGCGGCAAAAGCTGCTGCGATTGCGGCGCTGCTCCCGCCGGGAAAGCGCGAATACGACCCGGCGTCGCCGTCATGGGATCTTCGGTGGATTCCTTTTGATCCAAACGATGATGCTGGAGGCGATGATAAGCTGGAGAGCGGAGATGAAGGGAGTCACGACAGCGGAGATGAAGAATCTGCAGTGGCGGCGCGCGTCATCCGGCAACGAGAGTGGGAGCAAAAGCAAAAGGCGAAAGTGAATCCGATAGTCGCGGCGCCGCAGGTAGAGGGTGATAGTTCGGATAGCGACTACGACAATCCGTACAATCTGCCAGACAAGTTATCTGACACTAGCGAGGACGATGACGAGGACCACGCACGGACCTTAGTGTACGTATTCCTTCAGCACAGCCTCTCGTCTTCTGTGCTGCTAGCCATCGCGATTTTGCCGTCACTAATCTCTCCCTTGCCTTCCACAGCAGCTGGATGCCGTTGCAGAAACTAACGCTCGCTCTCCAAGCCATTGTTCAGCCGCAATTACTGTCTCAATTTCAACAGCCGCCGTTACTGCCGCCTTTACTGCTGCCTGTTGCGGCTGGCGCGCAGATTGGCGCTACAGCGGCCTGTCGCTGCCGGCCTCCATCGTTATTTTGCCGCACGGCCAGCTGCCTGGGCCTTGCACAGCCGCAGCAAGAACAGGCACCGGAATGCGACAGAGGAAGGGCACGCCAGTCTGAGCAACCAATCAAGGCGCAACAGATGGCGACGATGTAAAGCCGGAAAGCGACTTCCCCTGTAGTTTCGACAGCGGGGCTGGCCGAAGCGCACGCTTTTTGTCATCATTTTGGAATGTGCTTGAGCGCCCGGACACTGTACCTTAACGTATCCGGTTTTTTGGAGGACTGTCGTTGTAATAAAGTAAATTATTAACTTAACCGCTATTTACTAGTATAAGGAAGGTGGGGGTAAACTATCCCGATTGAGTCTTTTGCCTCCTTTGCTTCCCCTCGTTACTTTTTTGCCCGCGCGCGCGGACTCGGAATTACAGTTTTTCTTTCAAGACTTGCTATTGCTCCTGCATTCACCTCTCGTCCCCCTTTTCTCTCTCGTGCGTTTATCCTTGGCGCGGGCGACGCTGCTTTTATGAAGGCTCTTTCAACTGTCCGCACCAACACTCAACAATCGTACGGGCAACACTCGCACCGAGACTTCGTTGCAACATCAGCGTCCTCGCGTCCCGTCTCTTCCAGCAGCATTTCAACGACGGCAAACTCCTCAGCGCAGCGGCCCGGCGCCGTGTTTTACGACGAAGACAGCGACTACCTGCCGAGCCCGAGTGTCTTTTTGCCTTCTGGGCGGCATGGCACGTCCTTGCGAGCCGCGTGGGACAATGTACCAGTAACAGCAGTTTCAAGCTCAGCAACGCTGCTTGGAGACTCCTCGTCCTCTTCACCGTCCTCGCCAGAACTTGTCTCTGCACTCAGTTTTGACCGCAAGGGCAAAGGCCCTGCCACGCGCGCGGCGAGTCCACAGAAACCTTTGCCGCCGCCATTTGACGAGGATGTTCCGCTCGCCCGTGTTCGTCGTGAGAAGCGCAAGACTTGGACCCGAGCCGCAGCAGCTGCCTCTGAAAGCGAACTATTGAATAGTCTGGGATTGGCCACGCCCTCGTCTTCTGCATTGGCGCCTCCGGCAACCACCACGCCAGATAACCAGAAGCCGCGGCGGAAGAAGCGAAGCACGGCTCCACCGGCCTTGGCGCTGTCTTCCTCCAGCTCTAGCACCGCCTCCGCACCGACTGACTTGGACGGCAGTGTGGAAATCCTTTCCATCGTACCGCCTGCAGCGCCTGTGCCTGCTGGCAGATGTGACGACCGTGCGAGCAACCGCAACACCGCCGCTGGCGCATCGGCACAGCCTGATATCATTGCAGACCATGAATGGCCGCCGTCTCCACTTCGGGTCCGGCGGCAGCGACAACCTGCTGTGCGCCCGTATACAGAACAAGAGACTATTGATCTAACCAGCCCCGGCACTTTGGGCAATATACCCGTTCTCTCCGGCTTTGACGCTGCCATTGTGGCCCAGAGTCGGGCGCTTCATGAAGCCAAGAGACGGCACGATGAGCGACTTGCAGAAATGGCGGCCAGAGCTGCTGGTTTCGATGATTGGTTTGCAGAGCCTGCTATTTCGTCTTCGGCCTCCTCCTCGTCCACGGCGCTCGGGGATACTGCGCCGCGAACGAATGCACTTCTTGATAACTCAACCAGGTCTAGTGTCACTGCACCGCGGTCACAGCGGTTGACTGCTGCCTTGCCCACGGCAAGCATGCTGCCTCAGCGTTTGGGCGGGCGAGCGTTGCGACCCTCAAATTCCAACCAAACTCGATCTTCACACCTCCGTCGCTTGATGCGGAACCGCGATGACGACGACGTGGTGCTGGTGGACCACGTCAGGGCGGCATCGACTGTGACTAATGTACCATTGCGCCGTGAACCGCGCGGGACCCCGGCCGATCGGCGGGCACGCCGCGCCGCCAACATTCTGCGTAGTGCCTCACCGCCGCCGTTATCCGACGAGGAGATTGCGCGCCAGCTGCAAGAGGAAGAGTACGGTATCCTGCAGCCGCCCAATGCGGCGAGCATCATTGCGGGTCTTGCCAGAAATTACCGAATGACCGGCCAGCACGCTTTTGGCAGTCAGCCGTGGCTGGCCGATGACTTAAGCGGCTATCCTCCGGAAATCCTCAACGCGCTCGTCACGCCCAACGGCCGCGGACAAGCAGAAGAATACATGGCGGACGGCGAACTCAGCTACGAGCGCCTTCTTGCGATTTCGGAACGCATTGGTGACGCGCGCCCGCGAGGGCTTGCACCTGCGCAAGTCTCGGCCTTACCGTCGCGCAAGTTTACGGCGGGCTGTATGCCTGAAGATGAAGCGCAGTGCTCGGTGTGTTTGGCGGATTATGAAGTGGGCGAGACGTTGCGTAGTGCGGCGTGCGCGCACTGGTTTCATAGCGTGTGTTTGAGGAGATGGCTGAAGCAGAGCCACACGTGCCCTGTCTGCCGCGCATCGGTTCTTTAGAGGCGAGGTGGCAAGGGGGAGCCGAGAAGTTGCAGGGCGGAGACTGGAGTCATAGATCCGTGATAATTTTGGAGGAGAGGGCGAGCCGTCGCATGAATATATCGCTCAATAAGTTGACAGAGGCTGCGTATTGCGCAATTACCGGTGCTTGCAAGACAAAAAGCGTGGCTGTTTGTGAGTCACACAGGCAAAACGGTCAAACTTTTTACTCTGACCATTCACCAGACACAACTTAATAAAACTCTTCGCCCTAGTGGCCCAATGGCAAGGCGTGCCCCTCCTAAGGGCAAGATTGCGGGTTCGAGCCCCGTCTGGGGTGCCGGAGAAGCTTTTTGTGCCAGAAAATCTGATGTTTTGCTGGTCGTACTGCAGTGCGGCCTCGCGCATTTCACGACTTGACCATTTCGCGCGGGGGATTTCGGTAATTTGCTGGTCAGGACATGTTAGCGTCACTCTGCTTGTCTCGCGTTACTGCAAGCCGGTCACGTTGGGCCCCGTCTGTGCAGACTCACAGTCAGGTCCGCCACGCAGGACGTTAGTATCCACGGGGTGCCCAAAGGAGAAGGAGGGCTGAAAGAAGCGTAAAGAAGCCCTGCGCGCGGGTTTTCCGTTGCCGATTGACCAATCGACTAAAACATTCAATGCACACTTGTTTTTATGTTAAAAACAGATAACAAATGGTCCAAGATCAAGCGCCTAAAAGGCGCCAACGATCTGCAACGAGCGCGCCAAACCTCCAGAATCACCCGCCAACTAATCTCGTCCGTCAAAGCCGGCGGCGGCGAGACCGATCCAGCGCATAACCTCTACCTCGCTTCCGCGCTACAGCTCGCGCGCGCGCACCAGATGCCGAAGTCAACGCTCGAAAACGCGTTGAAAAAAGCCGCGGGCGGCGGTGCGGCAGAGGAGGATGATTTGCACGCTGTGGTGTATGAAGGGATGTGCCCGCCGGGCGTTGCATTGGTCGTTGAAGCGTTAACGGATAACAAGAACCGAACTTTTGCGGAGATTCGGCATGCGTTTAAGGAGGCCGGTGGGAGTATGACGCCGGTGTCGTATTTATTTGCTAAACGCGGGCGGATCGTATTTGCTTCTCCCTCACCACCTTCTTCTGATGCGTCGGGCGAGAACCAGCAGCACCGTCCTCGCACGCTGGCGGATATGGAGGATGATGCAATTGAGGCTGGTGTTGAGGATATCGTTCAGGTGGACGACGAGCATCAGCATGACACGGGTGCTTCTGTTGATGAGCGCAACACCCTGGAGGTGTATTGCAGCGTCAAGGATGTGCTCGGGATCACAAAGCGGTTAAAGGATGCAGGATACGAGATGGTCGAATTCGGGACTGTGTACGCAAGTGAGGAAAAGGTTGATGTGCCGCCAACCGACGACGGCGAGGTGTTTGGCGAGCTGCTAGACATGCTGGAGAATAGGGACGATGTTGTCAAAGTTCATCATAATGCAAATTGAGTTGAGAAAAAGCACTTGTTAACTATTAAATCGCATCGTGCTCCAAAAGCATCACATAGGCGCTGGCGGACCTCAAAAACGTAAACAGTCTTTTCAATTCTCTCAATACACCTTTAAATTCTATCTGATCTCCGCTGGTATAATCTCAACGCGCGCGCACTCTCTTGCCCATCTCACTTGGCCGCGCCCGCGTCGTTCGCGCCCTCAGCGCCCTCCAACCACTGCTTCTTGTGGTCCTCCAGACCAAAACCCTCAGAATAGTTCCCCTTAAGCTTAAACAGCTGCTTAAAGTGCGGCTTGCAATAATACACCCCGTTCATCGCGGCAAGATTGCCCATCTTGAGTGTCGATTTGCAGCTCTCGCACTTGAGACACGTCTTGTGGAACATGTGATTGTCGATTGTGAGTTGTTCCATGAGGTAGACGGATTTGTTGCAGGCTTCGCATTTGGGCGGCGGGGCACCGAAGGCTTTGGATGGCGTGGGCGTGGTCCCGCGTGAGGCGGGCTTGGTGGTTGAGGCTCCTGCTGGAGTGGCAGAGCTGGCGGCGGTAGAGGCTGCGTTGGGCTTGTTAGCGGCGGGGACCGGTAGGTCGCTGGACGCGGACGAGGGCGTTACGGTAAAGCGGGGTGGAGCCACCGCCGCCGGTGTAGGCGCGGGCGTTGGCGCGGGCGCAGGAGGCTGGTCAATGTCCATCGCGACCGGCCCAGTGTTGACGTTTGCCGCCGCCGCGGCCGGCTCATCTGCAGCGGCAGGTTGAGGCTGAGGAACGCTGGCGGCAGCAGGTTCAGTAGACACATCCATGGGCACAACACCAGAAGCCGCGGCATCTTTGCCTGTCGCCGACTCGCGACGCAGACTACCTAGCGATCCACTCTTCGAGCGAGTAATCATCTCATGTCTGGATCCGCTCTTCTCGTAGGGCGCTACGCGCGCATTGCTTGTTTTGCGCTGCGCACCCGTGCTCGACCGCCTAGTGTCTTTGTTCTTGTCTCCGCTATTGAGGCCGTCTTGCGATTTGGCAATTGCAGCAGCCGTGACTCGGCCTTTAACTTCGGACAGCAGCGACCCGCTAGACGCAGATTTGGGCTTTGAAGAAGCCAGGTCGGTGCTGCTGTTTCCAGTTCCGTATCGCGCGATCCGCTCTTTAATGCTGAGTCCTTTGACTGCTTCGGCGGCCAGCAGGTCTGTCTCGGATTTGAAGGGCCCGTCGCGCTGCAGAGGCTGTTGCTGGCTGTGCTCGCCGAGTTGGCCTGCCTGTTGCAGGTCTTCGAGCGATCGCGTGGCGGCGGGATTGTTGCTGCCACTTCCGCCGGCGCTGCTGCCCTGCTGTGCGTTATGGGTAGGGCTGCCGCCGCTATTGAGCGACTTGAAGAACTCGAGGCGAGAAGCGACGGACATGATGGGGGTATTCTAGAGTTGATAAAGCGTTTGCCAGTAGTCCGTCGTCGGTACAAAGGCCAAGTGAAGGTCGGTCGAGAAGAAGACGAGGCGTTGACACTTATATGAGGCAGCTATGAATAGTCACAACGCCGGAGGGATGCTTCACTGACGCAGCTTGCATCGTGTTGAGTTGTCCTTAACCCACGCGCAGAAGATGCTACAGACGAGTGCGGAGGGGCGCATATGGGCTCAACGACTTGGGGCAACAGACAGCTAGCGGGGAAGGAGGAAACAGAGAAGAGAAGCTGTCAGCATGATTTATCATTAGCGCAGTCAGCTTTTTTCTTTTTGTTTTCCGCTGCCGTCATTTCTGCCTTTCCTTCATCCTCCAAACGCCCTCACATTTAGATAATGTTTACAAACACTCAACAGCCCACAAGCCAAGGTCAACAGCAAGCAGGCGGCAGCTCCCGTCCTCCTAGACGCCGCACTCGTGGCCGCGGAGGAAAATCGGCGCAGCCCCAAGCAGGCGGACCTTCCGACTCAACGGCTAACTTCACCGCCAACAACGCGACGACTTCAGGCGCCTCGGGTTCTGGTGCTGGTCGACCGACTTCTCGCGGCCAGAGTGCTGGTCGCGGCGGCGGTGCGCCTGGTCGTGGTGGAGCGCAAAACCGAGGACACTATCAGAGTGCTGGTGGCGCTGGTGCTGCTTCTCACGGGCCGCAGCCACCGCAGCAGCCAAAGCCGGCGACAACGAGTCTTTTGGTCGACGCAGGGAACGATGCACCGCGCGTGCGCTTTGACAGCTTGTTAGAGTCCGGGCTGGTGAGCGCGCAGACCCTGCAGGGTGTTGTCCACGAGTTTATGAGCCCTGTGCAAGCCGCTACTATGCACGACATTTTGCTCGGAAATGACTGGTATAACAGGCTGCCAGTGTATCGATGTCTGAAATATTCAGAGAGCTGACCAACCTATCGCTTATGTCTTATTATTTTTAGCCTTGCGCAAGCAAAGACTGGAACAGGAAAAACGCTGGCTTTCCTTGTGCCCTCCATCGAGCTGCTCCGCAAGAACGGATTCGCGCGCGGAGTCAACATTCTCATTATTTCGCCCACACGCGAGCTCGCGTACCAGATTGGTCAACAAGCGCAGGAGCTTGTGCGATTTGACCAGGGTCAGATTGGAGTGCAGATGATTGTCGGTGGCACAAATATGAACCAGGACAAGCGCAAGCTTCGTGGCGAACCCTGCCACATCCTCGTTGCGACACCCGGCCGGTTACTTGATCATCTGCAGAACGGGGACCTAAAGCCGATGTGCGCTGGTCTCAAAGCGTTGATTTTGGACGAGGCGGACCGATTGCTCGAGCAAGGATTCCGTCAGGATATTGAGCGGATTCTGACGTACCTGCCAAACAAGAACGTTCAGCCGCGCCAGACGCTGCTATTTTCTGCAACGATGCCACCTGGTGTCCAGCAAATTGCCACGCTTGCGCTCAACAAAAATTTCAAGTTCATCAGCACCATTTCAGAATCTGACGCGGGCACCCACACGCATGTCGACCAACACGTCATCGAGGCGCCGCTACCACGTTCCATCGCCACGACATTCAGCCTCATTGCAGCGCTTAACGCGGAGGGAAAGAGCAAAATCATTGTCTTTCTCCCCACCGCGCGTGCGACGCAGCTGTACTTTGAGACCTACAGTCAGATGGAGGTTGCAGGGCGTCTGCCCTGCTACGAGCTACACAGCCGAAAGAGCCAAAGCGTGCGGACAAAGACATCAGAGCGGTTCCGTGACGCGGCGCAAGCCGTGCTGTTTTCTTCGGATGTTTCGGCGCGTGGAATGGACTTCCCTGACGTCGCGGCCGTCGTGCAGACTGGTCTGCCGCAGAACGCGGAACAGTATGTTCACCGTTTGGGACGGACTGCACGCGCAGGCAAGCAAGGAGAGGGATACCTGATCCTGATGCCGAACGAAAAGTTCTTTCTGCGTAAGCTGAAGGGAATGGACTTGCAGGAACTTCCTGCGCCGCAGGACGTTGAAGCGACGCAGCAGCTGGTGGACCGCGCGCTGAGACAGGTCTCGCCGCAGACCAAGCAGCAGACATATGCGGCGTGGATGGGTTATTACAAGGGATTCTTGAGGGACCTTGGCTGGACGCCGCGGGATCTGGTTGCAACAGCGAATCAGATGGCGGCCGACTTTGGATGTGCGGGTGTACCTCCGATGGCAGCAAAGACGGTTGGCAAGATGGGCCTGCGTGGCACGCCGGGATTGAATGTTGTGCAAGTTCTCCCGAGCAACTACGACTAAAGGGCCAGGAGGAAGGGATATAGAGAGGCCCACTAGAGGAGTCCATGGTAGCTTTTTTGTATACATTTTTGCCCATGTACATAAAATGAACCCTAATTTTCCCCCATGAAGAGAGAGCGTAGAACCATATCACTACGCTCGAGTCTCT